CATTGGAACCTGTCGAGACCTTGGGTGCACATACAGCGTATACATTCAAACGAGGCAGGTTTTCCTAGGTCGTTTTAATGAGGCTCGGCTTCATCGGTTCTCGTCCCCTCCATTTGGTTCCCCTTTCATCCCTTTCCCTTCACACACTCTTGTTTCCTCTTTTCTTTCATGTCCTCCTGTCTTCATGTCTGGTCATCTCATCCTTTTCTTCGTTTGCGCGCACATTGGTCCCGGCCTTTGTGTGTACGTGCACTTCTACACACCTTTTAACACAGGTTTCAGGTCGCCCAGGGCTTTACAATGAGGTGGGCTTCATCGGTTGTCCCTGTGCACTTGGTTCCCCTTTCATTTCAACCACCCGCACCTTTGTCCCGTCTCGTCCTCTTGTCATGTCTTCATTTTCTTGTCTCTTGTGCGCGCACACGTGCACATCGGCCCTCACCTTAGCTTCTCGCCTCCCCTCGGGGAGGCGTGTGTGTGTGTCACCCTTGGAGTCATAGGTAGGCATGTCCACAGCCCTCTCCAGTCATGTTCCAGTTTAGTAAGGGCGGCTCCAAAGTGGCCGCCCCTACACATTCCATCCAGTACATGGTATGATTGGATTCTCCATGGGTTACATGTACCAGTGAATGAAGCGTGAGCCTATGCTAACCTAAACAAACCATTACAGAATCACTCTCTGCTGGCTCTTTTTCCCTTGAGCGAACTTGAGCGAACCCGATCTGCAGCAGTAGAAGCCACCTGCAGCCAGGGATTGAGTCAACAAATTTGGAAAACATGTCTTAGACAGCTGGTCTTAGACTTGCAAATCTGTGTATTTCAAACTGTCACTGACTGTCACCAGAAAACATAAAGCTTCTGGCCGCTTCTGAACGTTTTGCCTCCTTTCTGTGCGGTTGGCTTGGGTCTTTCAGCATATGATTGCAGCATGAGTTCTTTGAAAAGGCCTTTTTCATTTCAAAGTTCTTTGAAAAGGTCCTGAAAGGCTGAAAAAGAAACCTGTATATATTCAAAGTTATGAACACATACATTTCTCTTCTCTGCCTGGGGTTATGTGTTGGCCTTTCAGTTGAACTCACGCTGAAGGAAATTCGAGACAACTCGTATCTAATCGTCGTGCTACATTCACGATGTGTGTTCTGCATCAAGTAAACAGTTATACAAACAACTAACATATGTGGATACAGCAAATACAGACTCAGCCAGGACAGCAGCTAGGACCTAAGAAAATGTTGTGTGTTCTTGAACAAGTTCAACCGGTTCAATCTTGTCAATGCTGCTTTCACCCAGGAGACGGAAAACAACAGTGTTTATTTTGTAAAGTATTGTGAATGCCAACAAGTCCAAGTGGTGAAGCAGCAAAGCAAAACACACATGCTTGGGCGCTTGGATGAACGATGGCGTGTCCGACCAGCCGACCAGCCGATCAGATTGCTCAAACGTATGAAGAACAACATTTCACACAGCCCAAACTGGTTCATAATTCCATAATATCATAATATCCAATATTCACAATATCCATTGACCATCCTTCAACACAAGAATAAAGAATCTAAAGATCATTTGTGATAAACTTGTCATCACTGCCAAAGTCCACAGCGCAGGTCATGTGATGATGTGGTTGGTCTAGAGATCTACTACATAACCAAGTGTTTCGCTTCTTGTTCACACGAATACGCTTAGCAGCAGCAGCATCAGACGATCCTCCTGTCGAATTCGGGGTCTTCAATGCGGCCCCTCCAAGAACCACTCTGTCCATTCCACCCAATGCTGCAGCATCATACGAGCGCTTGGCCTGTCGCTTGGAAGATTTGCAATCTTCATAGGGCCTGAATGCCAGAATCAAAACGAAAGGGATGCCGAGAGGGTCCGAGACAGGGGATCAGGCATCAGGCCAGGATCATTGGAGTTGGAGGCAAAGAACCTGGACCATTGATCATTGAGGTACAGCTTGGACTCCTTAGACCAAGACTCACCATATACTATGTGTACTGCTATGTGTCTATGTGTATTGTCCTTCCTTCCAAACCCAGTGTCAGTGATTCGATAAGGGAATTGTCAGGAGTTGACTTTGTCTTATGTTCAAAACCTTCTTGACCCCTTCAAGACCGAACCCGCCCTTGATTCAAGTAGCAAATGCTCACGAACCAGGATTGCATAGAGCTTGTTGGCAAGCTTCTTGACTACCACGGGTGTGTTTGGATCATCATTGAACTTCAAAAAGGTCTTCTGATAGAACATCTTGTACCCTCCAAACTCAAACGCGGTGAATTTGGAAGGCTCGTCCTGCCCCACAATCAATGTTGGTTGCTCGACATCAGTTGGGGGCACCATCCAAGCAGGGCAAACGATTTCTCCATCGGCTGAATGGTATTGTTGCCCAGAAAGCCAAAAAGCAATGCGCACCGGGTGATCTTCCAATTGCAAAGGTACTCCTGTCGCAATTTGGACTAGGAGCCGGTGTTATGAGAGGTAAAGTCCAAAAGGTCACCACATGCCACAGATCCCAAAGACATATTCACAGCCGCTAGCCTCGCCTGACCGCCTCACCTGATCGAAAAATATAAACAATACATATATATTTATTATTACATAACTTACTTACAGAACTATATGCCATATGCTGAACTATGTTGAACCAATCTTGTTGTGTTGATTCAGGTTTGAAGGCTAGCCGGAGAAGAACACACCATGGTGACCGTGGTACCGTGGTTCAAAAGAAACATAATTATAAATCTCATAGTGTCATTGAACAAAGATTTCAAACCAACATTGTTGAATTGTTGAACTGTTGTTTTTGTTTCAATGTCCTGCCTACGTCAGTGTCATTTCCGTTGACAACTCGCATGCCAAGGCTGTAGATGATCTTTGGGAGCTTTGCGTTCACAAAGCTTGGTGGATGTGTGCCTTGGCTTGTTCAAATGAGAGTCAAAACCTTGCGATGGGAAGTTGTTAATCTGTTGTAACTGTACCGGTGACCTCGGTGAATTCCATTGAGGTGCAAGTATGTCATGTTCTAGTACGGCCCTACGGCCCTACGGCTTTGTTTTCTTTAATTGTCTATTGACTGCATTGCACAGCAGTGTTGGTATTTACTGCAACCAAAATGCAAACATCGCCCCAGAAGTGAGTCTTGAAGTTGGCAAGGAAGTCTTCACTCACAACATTCGCCAAGAGTTCTCTCACTGGTTCGTCTGGCTGCATCGCATCAATGATACTCATGATGTAGTCGTTGGAGTCCAGCTCGAGCAACACCTCTGTCGTCGTTACAACCTTGTTGCCCTTCTCTTGTCGGTTCACGTTGAAAACCAACTTCTCACTGGAAGCGGAATCCAAATTCCTACACAGCGGACAATGTAGGTCAAAGCGCACATTCGTACGACATTAAAAACAAACAAAAACAATGCGTGATAACTCGTGATAACTAGTGACGCAGTGGTATTGTGATGTGTCACAAAAGCTAATATTAAATGATTCTTGTGTGCAGAATTGGGTTGTGAATGTTCTCGTGACATATGTGTGAGAAATAATTCAAGTATAATTCAAAAGAACAACACACACAGGACATATGACAAAATAGAACACATAAATAGTACAACGTGACAGCGTGACAACATGACAACATAGATTCCTGCAAGTCATCGTCATGTTGGCGGTGATGGTTGCCCTCAAAGCAAGCAATGCCTCACATGACTTCAATGATGTGGAAGCATCATCATCCTGCTGGAAATCCATGCGAATCCCATATTCACTAAGCCGCTTCTGGGATGTCAATGTGCCAGTCTCAAGAGAAGTGCTTGGGTCGGCGGCGCTGACAGATTCCTTGGAGTTGTTCTTATTTCCCTTGTCTCCGACGGCAACCGAATCAGTCACATCGGAAATTTTGAAGGACCCCTGTTTGATCAGGGCCTGAACTGCCGCACCATAGACAGAAGCAACGACCCCTGCATCACATGATCCACAAACGAAATCAATGTCATAGAAAAGGTCCTTGTGTTTCTTGATGCGGTTGCAAAGATCAATCGGCAAATACATGTGCCGGTTCGCAAGCTGAGCAATCAACAGCTCCATCATGTATTCAGCCCTGAGATGTTGCAACCTGGTAATAGTTTCCGGCTGAAGGAGTTGAGTCAAGACGCTGCTGTTCTCATGCGATGTGATCTCTTCAGGCAGCCCACCTTTATGATCAGCATGGTACTTGGAGAGCTTGAATGCAAACGAAATCAACATGGGGTTGAGCTCCGAGACTACCATCTGGCTCAACTGGAAGACAACCTCGTTTACATCCACATCAGTGCCCTGATGAACGACACATGTTGATTCATTGGTCCTGCGACGCACCATGGTAATGAATACAAAGAGCGCGTGTGCACTAGTCCTAGCCTGCCCTAAGGGAATGGTGCCCTAGGGCCCTAGGCATTTTCCACTGACCATATTGGCAACTGGCAACTAGCAATAGAACTAATTAATTCAATTGACTCCAATTAGTCAGTCAATATGTCCTCCTTTCTCCACAGCTGCAAAATGCAGTTGTCCAAGAATTCTTGATGATATTGAAAGCGAGATGGCCATGCACGTCCAAGGGTTTCGTAGGATCCAAAGGGTTGTCACATTTCATAGCAGCTGCTTCTGAGGCTCGCCATTTCATGAAGGCATCGATCAAAACCTCCCATGGAGCGTCGGCGGATTGCTGCTTAGCAGATGAGGATGAGGGTGCCGCATTGAGCAATGCGTCACACAATCCACTTGCTGTCTGTGTGTCTGAACCTCCTGGCATACCCGCAGACACCACAAAGATCTTGCTGGCATCGACCACCTGCAATCGTTTAAAAGCTATACGCAATCTTTTTTTAATCTTAGCTTGTCACTGGTGACTGTGTCGCCTGTCCATAGTCAGAAATACAACCGTCAGCTCTCAACCAGAACAAATACTAGACTAGACCGACATGTGATTTCATTACCTATATAGTGACGCAGTTGACTATACCTCTTACAATTGATCAGCTGGCCTTCTTGTAGGCTTCCATGAGATGACACTGCAGGGCTGGCCGCAAGGCAGACCACTTCTTGTATACTTTGCCGTTGAACATGTGAGAACCCTGGATTGCGAAGATCAAGCCAGCTCGAACAGCAGGTCTGATGATATTGATCTCCGCATCAGTGTACTTGATTGGATCCGCGGCTGAATCGGGAACCAATGATTCCTCTTCCACACCTTGGGCAAGTCCGTACTTTGTCCTGGCTGCCGTGATCGCAGATCTGATGCACAGCACTAAGCAGTCTGCAAACAGCTTCGGGCGTGACACAGCAATTCCACCTGTATCAGTCAAGGTGACAGATTGAGATTCCTTCGTGGTGTCATCGGCTAGCTCCTCATTCAGATTGTTTTTGGCTGCAGCTGCCTTGGGTTTGCACTTGCCCTTAGCCTTAGCTTTGGCAGCGGCAATGGCAGCTTTCTCCTCCTTCGCTTTTTTGGCAACCAAGTTCTCACTCAGAACCTGCTGCGGGTTCTTTTGCCCTTTTCGTTTCTCCTTCTGAACCCGCATCTTCCGCTGTGTTTCAAAAACCTTCCCATCGACAGCGGTGAGAACAAGTGCGATCTCTTGACCAGCACTTGCCGACCTCCGTAGCAACCATGGAATCTCGGAAATGTTCAAAGGAACCTGAGCGGTCCCGTTGTGGAAAATATTCAGGTTTGCTTGCTTGAGAACTTCAGAACTTAATAAAGTCTCAGACGCTACGTTGCATGGTGGCCCACATAGTTTCCATACAAAAAATCAAATTGATGTTTCTAATGTCTACTGCAGAGTCTACTACTTCCATGAAGTTTTGTTCTCAGGCCCCCAATCCCAAGTCCAGTGCTTGAAACGTGTTCAACTTCAACACAAAATAACTAAATGGATGTGACAAATGACACACATGTAGAGAGCTTCAAGGCAGAGTGCTTGCTTTTCAGAATCTGCCATGATGTTGAAGACGGTCGGAAGGGCTGTCAAGACTTCTTTCATCACGAAGACTACTGTATCATGAGTCAGCTCGTTGTGCAAGAAGTCACAATGGTCCGAGATGAATGTCTTCAGTTCAACCAAGCAGTTGAGCTTGCTCAGCACATTGTATACCTGTCTGGTCGCCTCGAAATGCCTGAAGGAAGTCCAAGTGGCCGGAAACTGACTTGTCAACATCTCGCGATATTTGGATTCGTAGTCACTCTGTCGCGAGGAGATTCCGTTTGCGACTTTGTAGTTCGCCCACGCCTTCTCCACCTCAACAGATTATGTGTGTATATGGTTGTCGGTTGGCGGAAGTTAAACGATATTAGAGGCACTTTTACAGTATGAGGGCACGGGCCGGGGAATAGAAAGGAAGAGACTGGTATGTCAGATATGTCGTATGCGTGTGTGGAGATGTACACTAGGTGCACCAACGCTATCAAAGTCCAAGCTCTTTGTTTATTTCAATTCCAACTCTGTTAAACAGCCGACAGCCGAGGACTGGAGTCTATGTTCTGCAGCTCGCCTCTGGTACCTTCATGATCATCTCCATAAAGGAGGTCTCCGCTCCTTGATGAAACGCATTGTGGTATGTGATCCTTGGAAGGCCCAGCGGCCCAGTGACACCGACTCAAGCAAATAGACAAAACATTGTGTGAAATAATTTATGTCGCGAGTCGCCAGTCAAACTCGACCTATTCCCATATTATGTACATGGGAGTCCATGGGATAGCTTTTGTTAAAGTGAACCAGGACTCCAGGACCAATGAACACTTCCTAGACTAACATTGTCTTGTGTGGCAATGTCTTGGAGTCTTATTGGTTGTCACATTCACAGTTGTCTTGGATTGGCTGCTAGTTTTGGTGTATTGTTTTGTTGTGCAGTTATTATGTATACATTGTATGTACTCTTCAACTCTCCAACTCCCCGGCAGAATCAGAATCGATCGATATATTAAATTTGGGTCGGATCGGAACACATAGCAAAGGCACAAGAACTGCAGAACTGACTGGGGTGTTCGGTGGTCAAAAATGAGCACGTCCAAGCCGTACTTGGCAGTGGTCAGCAAGTTCGGATAGTCTTCGCGATCGGGTGCTTCATTTGCCTGATAAAAGGCTTCTGACCTTAGCCAACGGCCAACAGTCCAAACAGTGCCAAAACAATGTTTCCACAGCCCAGGACCTATGTGCATGCGCACAACTGGCAGTGCAATGATGATCTATCCAATGACGTTCCGAAGCAGCTTGGTCTGGGAAATAGAAAACTATACGTCTGGGTTTTCATAAGTCATAGCGCTAGCAAGTCACAAACACAATGAACTAGTTGACATAGTCTACAGATGACACAAAGCGTGCATCCTCATCCTCGAAAACTCAAAAGAATAGAAGCTTTTCTTTCCTAAGCGAGTCTGAGCCACAGCGTGGCAAATGTCAATGCCAAATAGCTCATCTCTCCTTCCTCCGTGTTGGGTGCCTGTAGCCAGCACTCTCCCCGCACTCCTCGTACTATTCCTTTTTGTTGTACCGATTTTGTGTAGGCAGTCAGCACAGTCTGCTGCCGACGACTGTTGAGAGGATGGCGAGCTATTGTGCGTTGAGCTCCCTGATACCAAGGTAGCGTCTTGTTCGAAGGCACCTACAGACATATGAGCTTGGCCAATATAGGCAGGAATGAAATGGGACAGAAGCGGAAATGACAGAAAGGAATCGAATACAGGAACAAGAAAAACATATGAAAGTAGTATGGACATGTGACATCAACACGCATGGCCGCATGGAACATAATTCACAGTCTGAACTGTAAACAGTAAGCTGTCATTATCTTATCCAAATCCGATTTGGCGTTGTCATCATATCTACCTTTACTTCACATGTCACAGACTGTGACACCCTGAAAATAACAAAGTCAATACCAATGTTTTGTTTAGTGGAATTGATTCTATGATATGATTCTTTTGAGTGTAGTTAGGAGGGAGTGTGATATGATATGTTCCTGAAACGCCGATGCATCCGACCGTGTGTCCGTGTGTTTTGTTTGATATGCTTCGAGTCTCGAGTCTCGAGTTTAGATTGATGTGAAATCATTTCCTTGGTTTGAGAGAGACCTGGCCGGAGACCTGGTTTAAACAAATGTTGTTATGTCAAACTGAGTCAAACTGGTATGGTTGGCACTGAGCAAGTTGTAGCTGTCAAACAGTTGTCAACCAACAGCAACAACAAACCAACACTGAGCTAACCCCAGACAGTCCCAAAACAATTTCTTACAAACCGTTCACTCTGCCTTGTATGTTTTCATGATAACGTCCAGAAGTTCTCGTCCAGGAGTTACATGCCCACCAAAGATCTGTGAAAGAGTGGCATCTTTCTGGTACTGATAAGCTGGCTTCACGTCAAGCACATGTCCATTGCCATTGCCGCCATTGCCGCCACTGCCACCACTCGTAGTAGTAGTCGCAGGACAACCAGTGACATCAGTGGCTTCCTCTGGAGGTGCAGAAGCAGAAGCAACCATCATGCACGTTGCACAGGATCGTCTGAAGGAGTGCTTTCGTTGTGCTCAAGGCTCAAGTCGAACACTGGAAAGCTGGAAGCTACGGCAAGCGGCAAAGGCACAAGTATATTGTTCAACTCAAAGTGAGTTCAATCCAAATCGTAAGCGAACCTAAACTCTGACTCTGGCAAGTTGAAAGCCTTACAACATTAGCAATATGGTAACTCGATGCAACACGCAAGTGATCAACGGTCGTAATAACACGAGACGAGACGTGTCGACACGAGCATCAAACATCAAGTGAAACAATATTCATTTGCCGTAATCTTACAATTTGTAGTGTGATAACAACACGTAGATAATCCACCTATCCAGTGGCCTGTCGCCTGTCCACTTCAGAACATACCGTAACATACTAAAACACTTGTAGGTTCTGACACACTAAATCGTTTGAGACTATAGCCGCATTGTGTTGTCTTTTTGCCCCGCAACCATGTCCTAGGTTCCGACTGTTCACGTGTCAGTTGCACGCTCCACAAAATGTGCAGATCAGTGCTGCCTTCCCTGAGCCTGAGCCTGTCTGGACAAACCTCTCAACAGGAATATGTAAGATTATCTAAATATACACTCACCTTTTGCGGTAAATAGTAAGTATATAGTAAAATATAAGTCTTAACAATACACAACTACTTCTGCGGCGGAACTTCTGCGGTGTGATACTGATACACGTGTAGCCGTGTAGATTAGGATTGATGTAGATGTAAAAGTAGTCCATTGATAATTAGACATCAGTCAGGCTCACCTCTGCAAACACTAGAACTTCTTCACTAGAACTATAACTAGAACAAACAAATGAAACACTATAGGCCTTGCTTGATCTGTAGCCGTCTTCGCTTAATCATCGTGTGTTGCTGCAGCATCTTCAACAACGCGCCATCAATCCGAATCTGAGTGAGCGCGAACAGGACAACAACTCCCGACACATTGGTGTGCATGCTGTTGCCAGCCATTTTGAAGATGTGTGGCCGCGTTGGACGAATGCCCAAAGCTGTTGAGGCTGAATCTCCATGGAGGTCACGTAAGCTCTGTCGTCCTTCGCTGTCAGCAACATCATATTCGTGTCTGACCGCAAAACTACAAGCGGCTTCACCAAGCGAATGTGTGATCCTGACAGGGAACCCTTGTAGAACCAATGCTTCATCTGGAGTCAACCAGCGGCGATGCTGCGAAGAATACCAAATGCATGCTGATGACACCAAGGTGGGCATCACCTCCCGTGATCATATCGCTAAGGATCAAACAAAGTTGAAATAACAACCAACACATCAACACATCAGAGACGCACTACATATCTTGAAGAGTAAGAGTGTAGTGACGTTAGATTTGTTCCGGTAAGCAAACAGGACGTGAAGACTTGGGACCCTGAAACAGAAATGCATACTCAGAATGTCATTCACCAGAGTCTACTGCACTCTAGGAGTCCCCCAGTCTACCAGTATACATTTGACATATGACATATAGTCAACATAAAATAGTTCATCATTAGACATTCAACATATGACATTAGACAACATTACAGGCCTTGGAATTCGAGCACATATTGGTGACGTCAGGGTTCTGGTTCAGGCTGTAGATTCCTTGTGGTGTTGCCATCTCGTAGGCTTTCAGAAAATCGTATTCTGTCTTTGTCAAAGTATCCTCGAAGGAGGAATCATCATCAGCCGCCAATGAAGGTTTCAGATCACCGTGTGTTCGTTTCCACAAGCTGCACGGACGGCCACAGGCCCAATCTAGCTCTTCCTGAAGCTTTGTTTCATCGGTCCTAAGATTAGAGAGCTTAGTACAAGTGCACATGTGTGTTCACATCTTGATTTGATTTGATTTGCACTGAATCCAAGAGAAACACCTCAGTGTGGGAGTGAGTGAGTCAACACAATGGATTCGAGATAAAACATTGTAACTCACAGTGTAACTCAACCCAACTGAAGACTCCACTCCACTCTCATATATCACCAGTGCCAAACTTAAAAGCAATCATGGTGTTGCACGAAGATGAATGTTGTTGTGCCAATATTGTGCTTCAGTGCTTTATTGAACATCATCATCACACATCTGATGAAGACATGTACCAGTCGCGAAACCAACATGTCCATGCTAACAAACAATCACACACACAGCCACTGCCGCCACTACATCATTGCAGCCAAACTTCTCCCAAAAGAACATTGACCAATCTCCATTTGGGCCCAGTGTCCGCGAGAACAGTGAGCTGAAGGATGAAAGGAGCGTGCGATATCCCAAGGTCTTGCACTTGTGCCGGCCACTTAGTTCACACAAACAACTCCACAGCAATAGCACGTTAAACTGTAAAGACTGGAGCACTGTAACACATTGAACACTAAACAAAACATATGATCTTTCTATAATGACTCAAACTTCAGAATTAATGATCATTCAGAACACCATCTGTACTACGCATACGACGTTATATGACATAGGACGCATATGTCATATGTAATAAAGGTAAGGCGCATCATAAATTGACGTTCCCGTCGGATAGGCCATCCAAGCTGGACTGGGTCCAGAACCCCAAACACCCATTCATACATTGGCAGCATGAGCATCAATGCCTCGCGAGGAAAAGCCACCACATTCTCCTGTATTATAATCGGCTCTTGGAGTACAGCTCTTTGCCCGCACCACACTAAAAAGTGTGCGTGTGACATGGCTGATTCGCCCTGTCCGTCGCCTATAGCAGAGAAAGCGCAACAAGTCGTTCCGGCCACGTGGACATCAGCGATCTTGTCTTGGACAGAGCAAGTCTTGCCATGCTTCACGCACCAAGCGTCCCTTACATCATGACCGACCGACATGACTGATGTCACAATGTCACATTGTCTCAAACTGTTTTGTCTTCTAGTTTTGTTATTGATTAAATATTTAGTCATAGTTCCCCTGATGATTTGGTTCATAATACAACAGTAACAGCATACACAACACAACATACATTATTCAAAGTCTAAAGTCTGACTGATCAAACCCAAAGATCATGAGGATAGCCTTGGTGGGTGTATCACGAACAACTGGCATGAGAACAGATGTAAGTTGGTTGTTCTTCTGTAGCTCAGGCAACTGACTCCTCACAAGCGGATGCAGAAAATCTGCGATGTCACCAAATATACAATCAGCACTCCCTGGATGCACACAAAGTTCATGCTGACAGGATCGTTCCCACTCAACTGCAAACAAATGGTGCGGATGGTTCACCTGTAAGCCATAGTGTTTGGTTAAGCGCCCAACAATTTGCAAGATAGCTGTGCCCGGTGAATCTATTCCAGAGTAGGCCGTGCTGATTGATGTCATTGACATTCTGTGTGCCAGAGCTTGCAAAGAGGCTAGATCATCAACATTCATTCCAAGCAAAGCAGCTTGGCGATCAATTTTGTTTGTGTCCACATCCGACAGCAAAGCCTTGTTTGGATTGTCAACGTGAAGCTCCGACGTTGCATATGTATCGCAAAGAAGCAATGGCCATCCTCGGCAGCGCAATGCTTGGCCGTATCAAAGGAGATATGTGACATATTGTTTATATTAGTTGTTTCTTTGGAGATTGAACCAAATCAGTGGCATGCGAACGGGGTATATGCTTAAGTAGTGCTATTGATATATATGTATTTGTATCATGTGATATCCGACAAACTCTTGAAACCATTTAAAAGCAACACACAAAATAAACATAGCACATTGTCAATATAAGTTTCTGTGTGCATCCTGCAAGTTGTTCACTACACGCGTGCCACTTGTGATGGAGTTGCTATCACCGCTCTGCCTCTCATGTGCAGCACCATCATTGTTGTTGAGTAGTATTGCCTCTTGAGCAACTGGAACATCAGACGCAACTTCGCCTCCTTCTCTGCCTGCACAACACAAAGGTTCAGGCTGCCCAGGCTCATTCACCTCAGGAGGTTGATGGCAATGGTTATCATCAACAGGCCCATGTTCAACAAGTTCACCAGGCTTGCTGATGATGTCGGCAGTTGCATCCTGTTCCTGAGATTTACAAAACAAAAACTTCTATATAAATATATACAATGACAGCGACTGCTCTGTGATATTGATATGTTTTCCAAAACAATATTGTACAGTTGAAGTTCAGTTGACAAACTCAAACATCCACAACAACATATATTGAATTTGTCAACAAAATTCTTCCACACACATGGTGATGGTCTGGGCGTGCATGTTCTCATCAATCTCATCAACGCAATCTTCACAAATCTCCGGCTCAGACTCTCTCTGAACATCCTTTTGAATGTCTATGTTTTGGTCCTCCTCTTGCTTCTGACCCTGCTGACTCTCAGGCTGACTCTCAGGCTGACTCTCAGGCTCAGGGTCTTCAACATCTTCAACCCTGGATTCCTGTGCCTGTGACTGTGACACAGGATTTGGTTCAGGACCTGGGACAGTGGCTGCCGAGCTGTTGGTGATGGTGGTGGGTTCGTCTGAAGCCAAAGGTTGTGTTTTGCACACATCCACAGACTCCATTGAGGCGGCCGTTTCTTTGGTATGCACTGACCTAGGGCATTTCGGACATATGTCTGAAGTCTTAACATAACATGTTGACCGTTAGAGTCTAACCGCTAGTGGTTGAAAGTTAAATGACAAAAGAATAGAATTAAATATAATATAAGAAAACATATTTGACATTGGACTGTCACACTTGTATATGTGTAGTATAGTAGTATATTAGTAAAGTAAAGTATATATACTATATATTGAATATCAAAGCTGCTTTGTGTACTGTGCTGAGTCACCCCAGTTGGTCCATGGAACTCTGGCTTGCAGAAGGTTGGTTCGCGTGATCATCAGACTCATCAGCCTCATTAGAAACCTTTGTTCGCTTTTCATCACCATCATCACCACCACCATTGTCAAGAGGTCGCTTGGAAATCCAATGGTTGATGGACTTTGCTTGTAGTACAGGAACTTGTGCTACCCCCCATCCAAATCTATGGCGAATT